ATGCATGTGGAGGGGCTGATGCCCTTAATGTCTCCGAGACTCCAGTCAATCGCCTTTTGATTCTTCTTGAGCACATCAATCAACTCCTTCTCCTCGTCACCATTAAGCTCGACAAAAATGATAACCGGCTTTTGCTTCTCATCATCAAGGAAGACATATTTGAGGTGGCGGGGTAGTTCTTTGAGCTCTAGAGTGGGTGGAGTCAGTGTGTGGGACTCGTCGGCTGCAAAAAGCTCAATGGTTAGCCCTTCTTCATCGTCTAGATCGGGCATTATCCTCTCTTCGTAGTCACGTATAGTCGTCTTCTCCACACACGGGTCACTAACATCAACAAAAGCACACTCCTCCACAAAGTTCACCAAGGAGGAGGATTTGGCTTCTCGGACAGAGATAGATACTGACTCCCCTAGGACCGTCATGTTCAAGGTCCCATTCTTCACATCGACGAGAGTGTTGGTGGTGGCCATAAACGGTCTTCCGAGAAGGATGGTATGGTCCTTCCCGTTCTCTTATACGTCCCCCACATCTAGGACGACAAAGTCCACTGGGACAATGAGTTTCCCAACACGGACAAGGACATCTTCTACTACCCCTTTGGGGTATCTGATAGAACGGTCTGCAAGCTGAAGGCACATGCGGGTCGGTCTCAGGTCTCCTAGGCCAAGCCGTTGAAAGATAGAGAACGGCATGAGGTTGATCCCAGCTCCAAGGTCTAGCATCTCCAAAGCCTCCTTTCCGTTTCCTAGGGCTATTTGAATCAAGAAACCCCCGGGATCTCGTTCCTTCTTCGGAAGATCATGCTGCATAGCACTTGCAGCCTCGTAGACCACCACTTTTTCTCCATCTCCGAACTTCCTCTTCTTTGTCATCAAGTCCTTGAAGAACTTCACATACGAGGGCATGTTCTTGATCACGTCTAGCAGTGGCAAGTTGACATTGACCTTCGAAAGCATGTTGTATAGGTCTCAAAATTGCTGCTTCTGCTTCTCGTCTCGAAGATGGCTTGGGAAAGGTATGCTTGGTCTGAAGGGGTTTGGTGACTTGTGCATCTTCGAATCGTCTATCTCCTTCCTCGAATCCCCTTCTGCATTCTTCTTCGGGTTCTCTTCTACTCCTTTTTGCTGATCGGTTGGCTTAAGGTCATCAGGCTCGGGAATTTTCACGTGGTTGTCTACCTCTTTCCCGCTTCTCAAGACTGTAATCGCCTTGGCCTCCTTAGGTTGGCTGGGCAACTTCCCCTTGTCTGAATCGGCTTCTATGTTCCTAACTCTTGTAGCAAGCTGGTCCAACTGTGTTTCTAGGCGTTTTATAGAAGCATTGGTGTTCACGCCTTTTTGCTCACTGTTTGCCATAAACTGGAGAAATTTGTCCAGCTTGTCGTCCTGGTTTGTTGAACTGGAGCCGGTCCCTTGTGCTTGCATTCCTCCCATTGGGCCCCTCTGTTGCTGCTGCTGTTGAGGATAATTCGGTCTCACCTGGTTTTGGAGAATGAAGTTAGGGCGGGGTTGCTGCTGCATGAAGTTCTGTCGAGGTTGTTGTTGGGTGTTGTTGTTGTTGGACCACGAGAAGTTTGGGTGGTTTCTCCACCCCGGGTTGTATGTGTTGGAGTATGGGTCGTTGGATGGCCGGTTCGGGTTGCCCTGTAGAGCGTTGGCGTCTGCATATTGCTCACTGTAGTCAGGATCGAATGCCGAGGGGCACACCTCAGATCTGTGCCCTTGGACTCCACATGTTCCACATGCCTCTACAACCATGGTCTGCATCAGTTGGCCTCCCCTTGCATTCAGTAGCCGCATCTGCTCCGTGAGCTCGGCTATCTGTTGTGCCATCATGTCTCGTCCAGGAGATACTTCATTGACACAAGCCCTCTTCCCTCGACTGCTCTTTTGAGACGAGTTAGAACTTATCGCCTCAAAAATATCTATCATCTCTTCTGCCGTCTTCGCCCCGATATCTCCACCAGCTGCATTATCCACCATGTATTGAAGATTCTGGTGGAGGGAGTCATAGTAACTGTTCACCAGTAAGGCCGGAGGGAAATTGTGATGTGGGCACTGTCTCTGGAGGTCCTTGAAGCGCTCCCACGCCTCATGAAGTGGCTCGTTTGGCTGTTGGGCAAAAGAAACGATCTAAGACCGAAACTCCTGCGTCTTCTGATGAGAGTAGTATTTCCCAATGAACTTGGTGTACACTTGCTCCCAAGTGATGAGGGAGTCGGGAGCAAGTGTCATAAACCAAGCCTTAGCTCGATCCTTGAGTGTCTCGGGGAAACACCTCATCTTCAGCTGGTCCTCATTTAAGTTGTGGAGCGGAAAAGTCTGGAGGACATTGTAGAACTCCCGGATGAAATGAAGTGGTCCTCGTTTGGTAGACCGTGGAAGGATGGTAGCTGATTGTAGTGAATGGTTTTTAGCTCATAGTTCCAAGCTGCTTGTCCCAGCCGGATACACGGAGTCACTGACCCGATTATTGGTTGAGCCAACTCACGAAGAAGATGACGAGGTGGGTTGTTTACTTCCTCATCACCGTTGTGTGCCATGTCTCCTTGGCTATCTGAGTCTCGGTTGACTGAGCCTGAAGATTCAGGGGCGAGGTTGGCCAACAATTCCTGGAGGTCCCTCTTGATGGATTCATTGTTCGGGATGATTACACGACCACTCCTGGTACGCATAAACAAAAACAACAAAAACGTCACGGGCACCAGATAGATAAGAAAAAATACAAGGAAAAGCAAAACAAGAAAAACGTTAGAACCTAGTCAAAGAACACGAAACAAAGAGAAACACTCAAAACAAGAAATCACAAAAATAAGAGAAACACTGAAAACAAAAATGAATAGGCGCACAAATAAGTACTAAACATTCCCCGACAACGGCGCCATTTTGTTGTAGTAATTTTTACCGGAGTAGAATCAAAAGATTCGAACACCGGATCGTTTCTCAAGGAAGGTTAGTCGGATTAAATTGTGTCAATATTCAATCACAAAAGAGAATGATCCTAACACTCTAATCAGATTGATTTGGTTTGATTATCAACTACGAATTAAAAAAACTAATCTAGCTAATCAAATCTCACAACTCAAAACACGAATTCAAATAGTAATAAAGGAGGCTAGGGTATCGGGGATAGTCGCTTCCGGTTCTCAAAACATTTCACGGGCAATCAATTACTCGACTAAAGGTCTCGAAAAAACTAACTCATCTAGAGATTCATTCTCAATATCTCACGAAACAAGAGATACATAAACAAACCATTATCGAGTCAATTAGCACATAGGCAATACGTCACCGAACAAGCCTATTCAAAATGAGCCTAGATCGATCGATTTCTCTAATTTCGGTTTTCAAATCGATTATTAGATTGAGATGGTGATCAAGCATCTAAAATCCTATGTTAAGCACAACTAGAAAGGATTGAGCAATTATCAAGCATGCAAACGAGATCGAACCTGAACGACAATTCCATAACCCTAGCTAGAGAATTTAGCTACTCATAGTGATCTCAACACAAACATTCATACCAAACAAAGCCATGACATTCATGAATGAGACGAAATAGAAGCTTACGATTAATACGAAGGTTCAATGTCAAAATCCGAGGGCAAAACGAATCCGAAAATAACAATTTGGAGTTTTTCACTCTCCAAGATGGATTCCTACCAAAAATAAGAGAAATATATCTTCTTCAGTTCAAAAGTACGAGAGATAGCTAAAACCTAGAAAAAACATAATAAAAAACGAATCTGAAATCTGAGTTTAAAATTCTGCACGTCGCGGCCTCCGCGGCCGCGGAAAATCCCACGGGCCGCGGTGAAGAAAGCTCGCAGCCGCGACCATCCCCGAGACCGCGGCATCATCTGGACAGAAGTGGGACTTTTGGGATCCTCGCGGCCGCGATCTCTCCTCTGCGGCCGCGGCGACTAAAACTGGGCGCCGATAGGTTTTTGTTCACCGCGGCCGCGAGGAGACAGTCGCGGGCCGCGGTGAAGGATTTCATGCACAGCAAAATGTTCTCGGTTCGTGTTCTCGCATCCGGACTCGGAATCTAATCCCGTCTTTTCCAATTCGACCCCAACTCATCCATCTAGATAGTAATCCTCGCATGGCTACGCACCGCGCTTCCTATCCTGCACATCACCATCGACAAGAAAAATACGGAAAATCAAGAAAAACGAACAAAAAGACAAAAAATGAATAAAACAAGAGAAATGCACGAAACGACTCAAAATGGACTAAGAAACAAAGAAAAATACCTAAGGAGGGAAAAAAAATAAACATAAAGTAAATAAGAAGAACATGACGAAAATGGAACGAACATATCTCAATTAAGGGTTTGGCCATCACTAGTGTTGTAAACGAACCGAACAGAAACGAACCAAGCTTGGTCTGTTCTCTCTCGTGTTCGTTTACGTTCGAACAGTGTTCGTGTTCGTTTTCTTATTTGAGCAAAAAATCGTATTCGAGCTCGTTCGTCTAATTGTTCGTCAAAGTTCGAGTTTGTTCGTGTTCGAATAATTTAATACATAAATTTTTTAAATATGTTTGATTAACTCGAAATTTGTTCATTCGAACTCGTTCGAACTTGAAAATAAATAAAAATATTTTTATATTTTAGATTTTTTATTAAAAATATTATGTAAATATATAAAAAATAAAATAGAATTATATTAAATTAATATTCGCGAACATTATCGAATCGAGCCCGTGTTCGTTCGATTATTAAACGAGCCTAATTTTTTGTTCGAACTCGGCTCGATTAATAAATGAACGAGCTTTTGTTTGCGAACATTCGGTTATTTTACAGCTCTAGGCACCACTAATCTGGTGTTAAAAATTTTAGTTGGTTAAAAAGTGATGTGATTCCCCCATTGGGTGAAAAGATGTATACACTTTCCAGGAGCCTCTTAATTATTCCTTACTTCTAAGCCTAACTTCATAAAAGGAGAAATCAATTATAGAAAATACATAAAGGCTCAGTCCAATTGAACTCTGGACCCATATTGCAATATATGCACTGATGAGGAAGAAGTGTGAGTTAAGAAAAGTATATATCTTGGTGACATATTGTTGTAGACAACTCATGAACTCTTCAACTTTTCTCCTAATAAAGTAAGTAATTTCTTGTTTCTCATCTGCATGCTGGGGATCATCAATTGTGCAATATAAAGGCTAGTTCAAATTTTCTCACAATTAGCTGATTTTCTTACCTTCTAATTGTGATTATTAGCATAAGTTTCTTCTTAATCAATTGTAGGCATTCCTGTTTTTCTTTTCCAATTTGTTATTTTATCAAGTCTTTATGTTGCCATCCAGATTTAAGCACGGTGATTTTTCATATACGTTGTTAATTATTATTTGGGATTTAAATGATGAAGGATGGATATTGGTTTATTGAATTTTCTTTTTCTAACAATGAGGAGATTGAGAATTATATTTTTTTGTAATAATTGTTAGTAATATTTATTTTGTTTTGATGCAGCCGATTACTACTTACTTCTCGTTACCTGGCTAGTTCCATCAGATTGAACAACATAAGTTCAATTTTCTTTACGAGTAAGTACTTTATTTTAAATTTCCACGTGGCAGTTTTGAGCGTTATTAACATTTATTTAATTATTTATTTGATTCAACCATGACTAAATTAAGTGGTTCTGGCATTATTGAAAAGAGGATGCAGTATATTAAATTAAATAAACGAATATAGTTGATAGGTTTTGTGTACAGTACAATCTCTTGAATGAGTAAATCTTCTAAATTCAACGCTCTTAATATATACGTCGGTTTTTGGAAGATGTAATGTGAACAATTGTCTTGTTCANATAGACGGTGACTAAAAAAAAAATAAATAAATAAAAAAAATAAAAAGAATTTTGCCGTACAGTTCGTTATGCTGAACCGTTAAAATTAATGTCGCTATTGATTTCAAAGTCTTTTAATTTTAATTGATTCTTACTTCTAAATATTATTTGACCAAATATATATCAATAAAATAATTTAATTTGTTAAATAGTTTTTAATTGCATTTAAATTTTATTTTAAATTTGTTGACGGTCATTCCCGCCAGCCTTCCCCGCAGGGGGGGTGGGGGACTCATGGACTTCCACAGTGCTCTGTCCGTAGGGTGAAAACTCATCATAGGACTCCCTGTGATTTTTGTCCTGGGACCATCGTAGGACTCCCTGTAGTTTTTGCCCTCCCCAGGACTCGAACCCCGCACCCTGAGCATAAGGGGGGATTCATGACAAGTCCTGGTACCATCAGGCCAATTGGTGTGATGGTACCAGGACTTGTCATGAATCCCCCCTTATAAGAAATTAGATTATTCATTGTATTTTATGCAATCAATATATATATACATACACACATACGAAGGTTTGTATTTACTTAAAATAGTATGATTTATCCGCAAAAAAATTATTATATTACTGTATACGAAATTTTTTAAGACAATCTTATTTACTTTCTTTTTTTAATTTTCATTAGCTTTTTTTTACCATCCATGATGAAAGTTTTATTTTTATTTTAGGTTATTTGATAATAATTGACCTAAATATATTGATTAAACATCCCAAAAATTTTAATATTTTATTTCTACCTATTCTATTTTTATTTTTATTTTTTAGTGACGTGATGTCATAATTTGAGATTAAGATATTCAAAAATTCATAATCAATTGTTCCTTTACCACATCTTGAATTTTATTTGTGAGAAATATAAACTAACCGATATGGTTATAGATTAATCACTCCAAGGATAAATTATTTCATTAAAAGAAATATAAAATTTAAATATTTTCCTGAAATGGCTAGATGAGGAAATTTTTCGAATGATTATTTTTGTTATCTTATTTAGTTTTCATATAGTTTTTTTTATTTTTTATTTTTATTTTTATTTTTTTAAGTATTGATGTCATTTCATTTTTAAACACTTAGTAATATTTTCATTTGTTATTTATTTTTGTATATATAATAATAAATTAACCTTTATTTAACAATTTTTAGTCATATTTTATATATAAATAAATAATAATTATTTTTAAAATATCAATGAATTTATTAGTTAATATAAATATATAAAATGAACGTGATTTATTTCCTACTTTTACATCAAATCAATACTACCTCATTTTTTTTAAATGTCATTTTGACTTTATCAACAATTAACCAAATAAATAACGTTTTGGATCCTTTGTATTAGCTAATAAATACACTACATCTTTTCATACACTCTTCATCTTTTCACAAAACATTTATCTTTATCCTCGTTAATGAGAGTTGTTATTTGTAAAAAAAAACATTCTTAATTACTGTGCAATTTTTAAAATGACATTTATTAAAAAAAGAGAGAGTATTAATCATTTTATTTTTAATATTATTTTAATTAATTATTAAAATCTACTAACAACTAACTATATCATATTTTTTAAAATTAATTATAATTAATCAAAATAATTCATTTTGAATTGATTATTTGGTAAACAAGCATGCCTTTAACATTTTGAATTTTGAAATTTCCCAAACACGAGTTCACGTGGGCACGCTCTTCTTTCAACAAAACTCACATGCCCTTCCACGTGTCTAACCCTCGCACCTTATGCCTCAGAAATAATCTTGTTCAAATTTCATTAAATTGTTTCACCCTTTACCTTTACATTTGACCAGCCAAAATTGTACGTCTGTTAATATGTCGCGGAATCATGTGTATAAAGTATATTTCAGTTAAATTTTATCAAATACTCTTTAGTAGATTTAGGAATTAAGATGTATTTGCATGGAATTTCGAGTGTCTTTTTGCTACTTTTTTAGATATGAAATTTCTTAAGATTTTAGATTTAGAAGGAATCAATGAAATCTTAATGGTGAGATTTGGAGAGATATTAGATATATATATATATATATATATTTTTTTTTTAAATCTCATCAAACCTTAAATTTTTTGACAAATCATAGTATCAAATAAGTGAAATACTCCAGATTTTTTGTAAGACTATTTAAAATTTTAAATAAATACCTCAAAATTTTTAAAAATTTTTAAAAAAGTATAAAAAAATTTAAATTACATATACTAGAATATCTAAAGTCTTAAAAATGTTGTGAAATCCTAAATTTAAAAAATAAGGGAATTTCATTTATGGATAGACATTAAATTTCATTTATATTTTGATACGGTTCGACGTGAGTCACGTGATATATATGCATTATCAACTATCATCGCAATGATGAAATATGTGGCAAAATGTTAAAAAACTTCTAAGTAATATAAAACAGAATATATACAAGTTTGTTATTTTACAAAGTATATCCCGGTCAAACATCGGTGCAATAGTAGTTGAATAAATGTTGATTTGATATGCAATTTAATTATTTATTATTTATACCTTACTTCTTGATATTGCTTCAAACGGACCTGTTCACTTTATAACTTATCTAACTTTCAAAATTTTATTTTATACATATAAGAAGAAAATGAACAAACAACACGCATGATTATATATAAATAAGACTTGTATGCCACATGTCAAGTCTTGAGCAAACAGATGAGCACCTGAGTGTTGCGCTGGACATGTACAGGTCAGCGATTTTTCTTTTATTTATTATTATTCTTTCTCAATAAACAACAAATTGTTTGTAATTCTTTTAGTTAAAAAATAAAAAAAATGGCAATTTATTCTGCAATTCTTTTAGTTAAAAATATAAAAAATGCACATAACGCTGTGTGGCGCTATGCATGTGACCCACCTGTCCACTGCATAGAAACTGAGAGTTTTTTACTCAATTATTAAGGGCGTGATTGTTTATATTTTCTACAGTAAATATCTCACTCAAAACTCAAATTTAACTCAACTTTAACTCAACTCCATTATCTCCAATATTATCAATATAATTAAATAATATCAAACAATCATTATTACACATCACATCAACTTTAATTCACTATTCACACACTCACATAATTTTAACTAACCATCACTTCCAATCATTTTCTCCTACTTTTACATCAAATCAACTTTAATTATTTTAATTTAAATATTATTTTAATATATCCACTAACAACTAACCATATTACTTTTTTTCAAACTTAACTATAGTTAAAAAAAAACTAGTTTTTTACTAGTTGAATTCATATCCAATCACCCCCTAAGATATAAGATAAGATGTGAGCCAACCCCAAAACCCGATTTTACATCATAATGTGGTTCACACGTCTCTTAAACGTGCTTTTAACCGTCTGTTTTGCATACACGCTTTTTCGGCTTCTACGCGGTTTGAGGTGGTTAATTATTATACGAATACCAATAAGAATATTGTGTATAGATTTTGCCAATCGAATTTATATGCTCACAAATAAATATGCGTCATATATTGATGATAAAGATTCTGTAGATCAGGTATAAAATATTGTGCCGACCATATATGTTGTAAATAATTATCAAAAAATCAAATACATACAATGTGCGAAATTCATTCATTCCGGTAGTAATAATACAATGAAACAGCTCTAAAAAATACTACTTTATATGATGCAAATATTCTTATTCTTCACTATCAATTTTTAATATATTAACATATAATTTACTTGTTCGAGATATTCTACAAATCTAATTTTATTCTATCATTTTGAAAAAAAAAAAAAGAAAATCCATCACGGATTTATCTAATGTTAGTACCTTAATATTGTTCCATTTTAACAACATTTATAAGCACGTGAGTTGGCTAATGTTGGTGGGGACCGGAATCCATAATTACTTAATCAGAAATGATCTAAAGAACAAATATGGATTATTTCAAATCGTGTAATTTATGTCTATTTCGTAATTATGGACATGGTGTATTTAATTGAGATTTTAAGTGATATGGTAAGACTTTTCAAAATTTGAGACTTTTTAAGATTTTAAGATTTTAGAAGAATTCTATGAAATTTGAGATAGGATTTGAAGTGGGATTTCGTATAAGATTTTTTTGTTTAAAAATCCCACAAAATCAAGAAGTCTTACCAAATCTTACTGTCAAATAAATTAAACACCTCAAGATTTTGTAAGATTTTTTACCATCCCAATTGAATACTCCATAATTTTTAAAAGTCTTAACAAATCTATTACTATATAATACGGAGAAGAAAAATTATTTGAACAATTCGAAAAAAATCATTTCGTTTTCCCGCTTCAATATAGTGTTTTTCCCGCTTCTTCAATTCGTAAATTTTTTTTTTGAAATTTTTCAACCCATGCAATTAGGTAACCAATCAAATCGAATCTTTTAGCATTTAATTTGGTAAGGTGTTCTGATTTTAGCATTCAAATCCGTTTCACTTCCTTTTTTTATGCCAATCAATCTGATTTTTTTGGTTGTTTCAAAATTTGTTTAGATTTATATTTTTATTTTATTAATATATTTGGAAGAGAATCAATAAATGTTTATCATAACTTTTATTTTAAAAATAAATTTGAATAAGCATACCTTTTACTTTATATGAAATTCAAAATTACATATTTTAATATATTAATAAACGTTTATTATTTATTTTTTCCTTATGTGATATAATAGAATTTGGGTATTAAATTTGTAAATTCAAACATTTAAAGGAAAAGATTCCAAACAATTTTTTTGGGTAAATTTCATTTTATCTTGGTTTTCATTATCACATTTCTAACAAACTAATTAGTATTATATTTTTTTATCTACATTATCTAACCGATTTTTTATGATACAATTAATATAATATCTTAACAAATTAATCATTTGTCTAACCGGATTTATCTCTCTAACAAACTTGCCAATTTTTTTAAAATTAAAATGGTATGATTATTCTTATGGAGATACTTATCAATATATTAAATATTTAGAAACTTTTTTTAAAAAATGAGTTATCCCTCCTTTTACTTTATTTGAAATTCTGACTTATATTTTTAAATATATTATTATTTATTTTTTTACATGTAAATATTTATTATTTATTATCTAAGTGATAAATATTATTGATTTATCTCTTTAATAAATATTTATTATTTATTTTTTTCCTTACGTGATATAATGTAAATTTGGTTACTAGATTTTTAAATTCAAACATTTAGGAAAAAACCACGAACAAATTTTTTGGTTACATTTCATTTTATTTTAACTTTCATATAATCACAATCCTAACAAACTAATTAGTATAATATTTTTTTACCCATTTTTATATAATCGGATTTCTTAAAATATAATTAATATAACATTTTAACTATTTAATCATTTGTATAACTTGATTTAACTCATTATCAAACTTGCCAAATTTTTTTTTAAATTAAAAAAAATTTGGAAGATTTTTATTTGTAAAATAATAAAAAATAGCTTTACTTTAAAGTCTGGATTATTTCCATTATTTTTTGTACGTTAACAATCATATATTTTGGATTATTGATTTAAAAAAACAAATCAAAACCGTAAGGTTTAATAATATTCCTTAAATAAAAAATATTGTATAAAGAAAAGTATTTAATAATATATATTTTTCATTGATTGTATTTATTTTATTTTCATAATAGACGAGATGTGAAAAATATAAATAATTATATTTAAAATAAAGTCTAAAAAATATTTAAAATATGAACTCTTCCGTGCATCGCAGGGGATATACACTAGTGTAAATTGAATACACCAAGATTTCTAAAGTGGTAAAAAGTCTTTAGAAATCGTAATTGAATAGCATTTTTTATTACCCAAGAGCACGTGGGTGAGATGGTTGGGGTCTCTCCCAGATTAACCAGAGGTCTCGAGTTCGAGCCCTGAGAATGCAGCTGTGTTAAAACTCTTGAGGTAGAGCTTTGCCGCCCTTGTGGTCCTACCCGGCTCGATTCCGGATTAGTCGGTCCCCTAGGGGATTCGGAAACCGGAAGGTTCATTGTACCAAAAAAAAAAAAAAAATAGCATTTTTTATTTATTTTAAATCTTGCAATTTATGCCCAATTAGTAATTAAGAATAGCATTACACGTTTTGACAAAATTATCATTATTATTTATTTGAAGTCCCATGGTCACATTCATTTTAATTATGTATTAAATTAACTATTAAAAAAGTTTGTTTTCAACTTATAAAATACTAATAAAAAATCTTGAGATAATGAGAAAGAAAAAAATAAGTAGATTTAATTTTTATGTTTGACAACTACGTAAGGAAGGGGTGTATTAGAGTTTTGAAGAGTTTTTAATATTTTAGAAATTGTGATATACTTAATTTAAATTTTTTAAACTTTTAAAAATATTCACTTGAACTTTTATTTTTATTTTTTATAAAATTATGAACTATTTAACTTTTTAATATTAAAATATGTTAAGACTTTTTTAAATTTAACAAAAAAAAAACTATATACAAAATCTTACTCTTTATCTCTAAAATCTCATGTTCATTATAACGGAGTGACTTTCGGTGGACCTCACCGCACAAAATCAGAAAATAGAAAACTTGCAAAAGCAGTTTCGAGAGGAAATTGCAAGGAAATTTCTGTCTCTCCCTCTTTCTCGTTCTCTCTGCGCGTAGCTCAACAACTGCACCAAGTGCACAGTAGCCATTATCAACCCTTCAGGTTCTGTACTCATAACTACCTAGTTTTGATCGCTAGTGTTTGATGCACTTGTATGCTACTTGCTTGTGCGAAGGAGAAATAAGTTGAAAATTTGTGATAAAAGTTATACAACTGCGCTCTCTGCTGCTAGTAGATTTACTTTGTTTTTTGTTCGCTCGCCGGAGTTGTTATCTGAATCTTGTGTTTTCCGGCAATGTCTGTGGGTTATTGATTTGATTTGACAGAAATAAGTAGTGTCATCTCTCCTGCGACGTACAGAAATCCAGAATGAGCGACGAGTACAACACATCGCCGTATAGACGCTACAAGAACGACCCCGAGGCCGGCAACACAAACTATGAGGAGGATGAAGATGAATGCTCTGGGCCCTTCAACATTGTGCGTACAAAAAGGGCTCCAGTCGACCAGTTGCGCAGGTGGAGGGTAAGTTTTATATCGTTAGCCTTCAGTCTCATTAAGTATTTCTGTAATTAGTTTTTTTGGTGATCTGTATTCTGTTAGTTTATAGTTGTTTGGTGGAGAAGAGCATGTATTAGGAAAGTATTTTTGCTTTTCTTCTGTTGAATATACATAGTTTTAATTTAGTCATGTTTTATCATGTGGCACTGTTTGTGTTTGTGTTTGTGTTTGATCCAACTTGATTTGTTGTCGGAGACAAAAGTATATGTTGAGTAGGGTTACTGGATGTCCGAGATGAAAGTATCTGTCTGAGACAAAAGGAATAAATCAGAACAGATTTTATGCATATTTTTAGGGAATTGAGGGCTCTGTTTGAGACCTCCAAGGGTTAAAGCAAGTTTCCCCTTGATTGAAGCTTGGTTATATTCAATGTGAATGCCAAGTTAAATGCAATTATTGGATAATGTTGTCACTCTATACTTGTCCGAGATTTCACTTTATTTGGTACCGAGCCGAACCACTGATATGTTCTCGATTTGTTCTAATTTAAACTTAGGAAACATATTATCAATCTATAGAAAGACAGATCTGTTATTGAGTGTTGGGAATTCTATGAAATGATCTGTATTTAAGCATTGGGACTGGGAAGGAAATTTAGTTTAAGCATTATTTGGTGATCAGGCAATCAGTTCTCGATAATATCTGGGAATATCAATTTATAAATAACTCTATGGGCCCCGTATTTCTGTTATGTTGTTCTGTCTAGTAAAACAGGGTCATGTTTGCACATATTTAAAATATAATGCAACTTTAGTACTGTAGCAATCAAATAATGGTGATTCTTCTTAGGAAAGGAAATGATGATGTTGCATGCTCCAAATACTAGTGGCTTCAGAATTTCACTAGTATGCTGGGTAGGTATCTGTGTACGCTTTACTAATTTTGACTATTTTTAGTATAGATGTGCTAAAAATCTATTTGTAAATGATTTTTCCTATTCTTCATCATCTGTTAAGTGATAGATGTGGTTTTATTTTGTCTTTTATTGCAAACAGTCGACTCTGGAACTTCCTACTTCAAATCACCAAATGCGTAATATGGTTTTTTCCCCTAATGAAGTTAAAGAGATTACATGTAGTAATGGTCGCTTGATTGGCTATGGGTACATATTGTGCTTGTTTTAACTGTACAACTATCAACACTGTTTTTATCGGAAAGGAACACTGTAAATTGGTGGATAAAAAGTAGGCCACGGGTAAATGGGGAAGCCGAATGCTGTTTGGCTAGTTATTACCTGCTAATAACATGGATGGGGAAATTGTATATGAACTTATCTTGCTTCAACTTATGTATATCTGTGCGATGCGGGAAATTATGTTATATCTCAAGAATTTTGATTTGATTTTGATTGACTGCACTAATGGATGTATTTGGGCGTTCTCTACTTTAAATTATTAATTATCTGTTTTAGCAAGCTGCGCTGGTATTGAATGCCTCTCGACGATTTCGGTATACATTGGACTTGAAGAAAGAAGAAGAGAGGAAGGAATTAATTGCAAAAATTCGAATGCATGCTCAAGTCATTCGGGTACTTATATTCTCTTTCTTAGTTTTGAGCGGATTGGCTTTTTCTGCAGAGCCAGTTGACTTATGATCAATAACTTGAACAGGCTGCTGTTCTTTTCCAAGCAGCTGGCAAAGGATTGAGTGGTAAATCTCTTTTTATGGCACTTTTAACAATTATTATGTTGAGTGTTGTGTAAGGTTCAACAGCAAATGTAGTAGCAATTGAGAGTTAGTCTTGTGAGTTATCTAATTCTTTGATCTGGTTCCTTTGGTGCTGTATTATTTTATTGCCCGGTCCAGTCTAGCCTTCAATCTTCATTTGTGAAACTCGTATAGCTGGTAGTCATCATTAAGTAACTTAATTTTCTTGATAGGTTTCTTTGATAGCGTTTACCAGAAAACATGTATGTTTTTAGTAGTTTTCTATGTGGCCATATATATGATTCGAGATGATTTTTTTTCCTAAGAATTTATTTAGATTTTACTGTTTACTTTTTTTGAGCATTGATTTAAAATTTACTCTTTTTTGTATTATTCGTGGTTATTGAAGTTACATTATTTGTTCTAGTTCCAGGATCTGCAAAGTCACCTTCAACCTCTACACCAACTCGAGTTGGAGATTTCGGTATCAGTGCTGAAGAATTGGTTTCATTGTCCAGGGAGCATGATATGTCTCTTCTGCAGCAAAGTGGAGGGGCAAGTTCATGAAATTTTGTCTATATGAATTGTTTTCCTTTTTATTCTTTTAAATTTCCTNCCCCCTCCTCCCCCCTTAATCCTGTATTTATATATTTGCCGTCCTCAGTTCTTTAATTTTCTTGTTGCTTCAGGTGAAGGGAGTGGCTGAGAAGTTGATGTCTGATGCCGACAAAGGTGTACCTGGTGATGACAATGACATCATAAATCGAAAGCAGGCTTTTGGATCCAATACATATCCTCGAAAGAAAGGACGCAGTTTCTGGGTTAACATTTTAATATACTTTTTTTATTGATGCAATTTGTTGTATTTATGATAAAATGAAATCAAGAATAACTTGGAAATATTTGTATTTTACGCTTCTGTACAGATGTTCGTCTGGGAAGCTTGTAAGGATACGACATTGATCATCTTGATGGTGGCTGCGGCTGCCTCCTTAGCACTCGGTATAAAGACCGAGGTAAGTTTAAAAGTGGATATTCTCTAAGTTAAAGCTATCAGTTTCTCGAACATAAGACATGCAGTTCCTTTTCTTTCGGCATATTATGATGCAAATATAGAGATACATAATTTCTGTTGTCTTTTGATGTTTATTGGTTCCAATATTTTTCTTATATTATTTTCTAGGGTATAAAAGAAGGTTGGTATGATGGAGGAAGCATTGCAATGGCAGTATTTATCGTCATTATATTTACAGGTATGCCCGACCTGATAATTTCAAGTCCCTGGTTTGTGTAGTGCTGTGGGCTTCTTGCATAATATATTTCACAGTTTTATGAATTTCGGTTTTGATTTATCTTGTTTCTACTATGTGGTTTATCTTTTTCATTTCTTGTGTCAAAAAATTTATTCTTAGAATGTGGTTCACACTGCTAATATTTACAAGTCTGTCTAGACTATGACCACAAGCATTTTATTCTTAGAATGTGGTTCACACTACCTTTATATAATTGATCGCAACTTTTTCAGCGGTAAGTGACTACAAACAATCCCTTCAGTTTCAAAACTTGAATGAGGAGAAGCAGAATATACAAATGGAGGTAGGTTATTTACGCAGTTTAATAATATTATGCCCATGTACAGTTGTACTTTTCCCTTTTTTCACTTTTCTTATATTTCCTGGTGCTTTTTGCAGGTTGTTAGGAATGGACGTAGAACTAAAATTTCAATATTTGAAATCGTCGTTGGCGATGTTGTTCCTCTCAAAATTGGTGATCAGGTAATGGAAGTATACCGCACTTTCATCCCCATCTCCCCATAAAGAGGAAAACGACAAAGTGTATTAATATTTCCTTTTTATTGTGCGTTTCCGAAGAGCAAAATAAGAGAATGGGTTTTGAACGAGTTAGCTCTTGCTTTCTTTCATGTGTAACAGGTTCCTGCAGATGGAATTGTTATATCCGGTCATTCTCTTGCAATCGATGAGTCCAGCATGACAGGGGAAAGCAAAATTGTGAGTTCTAGAAACCATATGCTATATTCTGAATGGTCACTGTGTTCACACGCTTATGCAATCCATTCTTGTCATTTTAGGTCCACAAGGACCCAACAAGATCACCTTTTCTCATGTCGGGATGCAAGGTTGCCGACGGTTATGGAAGCATGCTGGTAATGTTTCTCTCAGCTCTTAAATGGATTATTCATTTGTTGAAGCCATAAGAGTTATAGTTGGAATACAGTTCTCTCTCTCTCTCTCTCTCTCTCTCTCTTTCTCTTTCTCTTTCTCTTTCTCTCTCTTTCTTCTGTTTAGAGTGATCACTGTCTACACTTATTTATAGATGTGAGGATATTGGAATGTGCAAAATACACTTTAATATTCATATATTATAAACATGTTTATTATTTTTGTGTACGCATAATGGTTAATGTGATCTGGACAATAATGTAGGGACGCTGCACTGATGAAATAACTTAACTGTTGTGATGGTGATGGATACAGTTTTCTCTCTCTCTCTCTCTCTATATATATATATATATATACACACACACATATATATGTTTAGAATGATCACTGTGTACATTCATTTATTAGATGTGAGGACATCATAATGTGCAAATATACTCATAAATAGGCATATATATAAACAGGTTTATTATTTTCGTGATGCATAATGGTTAATGTCATTTGCACAATAATTGAGGAAAGGCGCACTGGTGAAATAACTATTGTGATGAATAAAAATATCTCTCAATTTTAGAAGTTTGTGTATGTGGTTTCTTTCAGTTGATAAGCAATTACTCAGTGTTACACTTTTACGTGGTAGTTCATTTAGGTTGAACTGTTACTCATTTTCCAGGTAACAAGCGTGGGAATTAATACAGAATGGGGCTTACTTATGGCGAGCATATCAGAGGATAATGGGGAAGAAACGCCATTGCAGGTTACTTACTTATTTTATGATTTTGTAACATGTTTGTGATTATGCATGATGGGTCAACTGATTATCGGTTTATATTTCGGTTTTAGGTAAGGTTAAATGGTGTCGCAACATTTATTGGAATGGTCGGTCTTATAGTGGCAGTGGCGGTGCTGATAATACTTGTGGTCAGGTAGTCATATCTGGTTAACTTTCATGTATTGTGTTTCTTTTAATTTCTGTGTAGACGATGGTAGTTAGTAACTTTACCTTTTATAATCTGCTAGATTTTTCACTGGGCATACCAGAACCCCCGGAGGTCAGGTCCAATTTGTTGCTGGGAGGACTGGTGCTGGAGCTGCAATAGATGGCTTCATTGGAATATTCACTGTTGCCGTATGTACACCAAATATTCACTGTTGCAATATGTAAACCTTTGGAATATTAGTTGAACTTGTTTAGGGTATCTTATGATTGTTGTCTTGTCTTTAAAATGTAGGTGACCATTGTTGTTGTGGCAGTGCCAGAAGGTCTTCCATTGGCTGTAACTCTGACGTAAGTCTACATCTTATTATTCTTTTCATGTGAATCCTCTTCTTGTCGTTATGTTTTTATAAATCAATTGTAAAGAATGTTACATGTTTCGTGCATAACTGAAATTTATATCTTGTCCATGAAATATATATTATTTCTTGTATCTTAAGCAGCATAAATTTTGCCAAATACATCCTTAAGTCTTTCCTGCCTCCGTACTTACATTTTATAATTTTTCTTGCTCCAAACAGTTGAAGCTTCTTGATCCTTCCTTTGATTTGTTGACACTATTTTTATTTGTATTCTGTTGTATAAGCAACCTTTCTTGTTTTTGACTGTATATTTGCCTTGTAGGCTTGCATATTCAATGAGAAAAATGATGGCTGATAAGGCATTGGTATGTATACTTATGTAGATTGAAAGCACAGCTGACAAGTTTCCCTTTCAATAAAATTCTCTCCTCATTTGCCCTGAACGATGTTGTACAATTTCTGCAGGTCAGAAGATTATCAGCTTGTGAAACAATGGGTTCAGCGACCACTATATGCAGTGATAAAACAGGGACCCTTACGCTGAATCAGGTGCATTTCTAGCTTCCTTCCGTTCTTTCTGTGTGATCAGGAGACATTTGTTGTTGAATTTCTGTATCTACGATACATATATATGTGTATATATATATATTTGACTTTTACGTTGTCAATAATATTTTTTCCCCTTCACAGATGACCGTGGTTGAGGCCTACACTTGTGGAGAAAAGATTGATCCACCTGACAATAAGTCCGTGCTTCCTGTTAGAGTTGTCTCATTACTTACTGAAGGCATTGCACAGAACACAACTGGAAGTGTCTTTGTGCCTGAGGTATTTTTTATGGTCCTTTTGCATGTGTAGTATTGGGCATGAGTCATCTGTACTATACTGTCTGTACTGCATCACTTCTTTTGCTGCTATGTTACTATCGTGGTGGTACGACTCAAGAAAGCTTTAGAAACTTTCAAGTTGTTTTGGCATTTGTGTAGGGATTGATTGTCATGATACTGTTATTTGTAACTTCCTTTCTTACTCATTCATGAAGTAGGCGTGACACTCTCTTTGGCTGGTTTTAATTAGGGTGGTGGAGAACTTGAGATTTCTGGATCACCAACAGAAAAGGCCATTCTGCAGTGGGGTTTAAATGTAATAAATTATTCTCATTTTACTAGTAGGATAAGTTTTTGTTTGTTTCAGCAACTTGACTATGCTTGCTGTTTTTCCCTATAGCTTGGGATGGATTTTGGTGCTGCCCGATCCAATTCAGAGATAATTCATGCTTTTCCCTTTAACTCAGAGAAAAAACGAGGTGGTGTTGCTGTGAAACTGGTAATTTAAGATATCTTTTGGGATGTTAAATTGATTTATTTTCTTTCCTGCATTATGAAGGTGCACTTTCTCGAAGATATGCATATCTTGTTTGTTTTCTTGATTGTGGTCTTTCTTTGGCAGTCAAATTCCGAAATCCGTGTGCACTGGAAAGGTGCTGCGGAAATAGTCCTTGCTTCTTGTACGAGTTACATCGATGCAAATGATAATGTGGTCCAGATGGATGAAGATAAGGTTTGCTCAGATTATGATCCTTTATTTTATAAAACGCCAATTTCTAGACCCTACTGCTAATCTCTGTTCGCTATAAGAATTTAAGTTTTTGGACTTGATTTGAATAATAATGTCTAGTGCAGCAATTTTCAGTACTTATGTGCCAAATTTATGTTGCGTGTCTTTGAGTCTTCATAAGTTGCTTCATGAATCATGTTGAGCGTGTTACTTATCCATTCAATAGCTATAAGATCCTTATATTTTTGTATCGAACAGTTGTTTCAGTAAATACTTGTTTGCAGCTATCCCTTTTTAAAAAAGCAATTGAAGATATGGCTGCTGGAAGCTTGCGTTGTGTTGCTATTGCATATAGAACGTGCGAACCGGAGAAGGTTCCATCAACTGATGAGGAACTGGAAAACTGGCAGTTGCCTGAGGGAGATCTTATTTTGCTTGCAATCGTCGGTATCAAGGTATTTTTGACTTTGCATTTTTTTTTTGTATGTAAATGTGCCTTGTACAACTATGTGTGATTGAAAGGGTTGTCTGTTCAAATCTTTAACGTCCACAAAAATATATGTTCATTAGTTGCTGAACAATGGGCGGTGCACTTTTTCGCTATTAATCATATCTGATGTGGTTTTTTCCTTGGTAGAACAGTTTCACAATTTTATATTTACAAAAACACTACTAATCAATCAACAGTGGCTTATAAAATGCTTGTATGCCTTCTCTTCTCTCTTACATATTTGGCTGAGGAACCTAGTTTTTCTAGTCTCTCTGTGTATGGGCGTTTGTGTCGATGATTTGTCTCTGGCGTACTCTATTCATGCAACAATATGATAAATACTTTGGGTTCATCCTGTCAATTTGGATAACTTTTTTTCTTTTTTAAATGTAGGATCCTTGTCGGCCTGGTGTCAGGGAAGCTGTCCAATTGTGTATCAATGCTGGTGTAAAGGTACGTATACCAGTCAGTGTCACATAGGCAATATACGAATGAATACTTAATTTGCTTGCTTTAGTTTCTGTTCTTGCCATTTCTATTAGCTTTAAAAAAAAAAAAGAATTATATTTGTAGCATTAGCAATTGCAAAGGTTTATGAAACCATAATTTGGTGCTCATACTATCAAAGCTATGTATTTCAAAGGTTTATTACACCATGGTTGGTGTTCATGCTAACAATGAATTAGTTCTGATGGCCCTTCTGTGTCTTGTATTTTTTCTTCTTTTCTTTTGTGTGGCTTGAAATCTTCCTATACAATCAATGTTAAAGCTATTGGAAAAGTAACTTGGAATTCTTTATATAGTCTGGAAATAACTGTGGGACCTATAAGCTGCACAACAACATTTGCTGTATATAACCATACATTTTTGCAATTTGGATGAACTGAATGTAATTGACCATGGAGCTTATTTACAGATGTAATTATGTTTATTAATTGGTCTTGAATTCTTGTGTAGGTTCGCATGGTCACCGGGGATAATCTGCAGACAGCTAAAGCAATAGCTTTAGAGTGTGGGATATTAGGGTCTGATGCAGATGCTACAGAACCTAATTTAATTGAAGGAAAGGCATTCCGGAGCTTAACTGATACGCAGAGATTAAATGTAGCTGATAAGATTTCGGTATGCTGAAATTTTTCAGATGATGCTTGAGGTGTTATGCCTCTATCCGTGTTGGTCCTTGAGTTGCTGCAAATAACTTGCTTGTTATTTTTGCTGACAGGTAATGGGCAGGTCATCACCTAATGACAAACTCTTGCTTGTCCAAGCTCTAAGGAAAAAAGGGCATGTTGTTGCCGTCACTGGAGATGGCACAAATGATGCACCCGCTCTACATGAGGTGTGTTTTTCATTTGTCATTTAGTTGAGGGGAGTCATATAAGTTGTGTAGAAGAATAATCTTCTGTCGAAAGTGAACTGTTTTGGTGCCTATCCGGCTGTGAATTTCCTTTTTGGGGTTTTGGTGGTTTATTACTTGTATTAGTTGTCTATTTTTGTAGGTTTTAGCAATATCTTTTATAGGTGGTACACAATGAATGCTTAGACAGATGGAGTGTAATAAATATTATCCCTGGCCTAATGTGGACTGAATTATATTGGTACGGATATTGTGCTGGGTGAACATTTGTCTTATTGCATTCATGTAAATTTGGTTAAGGTAGGCAGCTATCGGTGAATGATGTCAGGATAAGCTAGGCGTTAATTGCTTGAAGGACCTCTCTCTCTCTCTATATATATATGTGTGTGTGTGTGTGTGTATAATCAGTATCAATATAATTACAGTCCACATTCAGATCTCAATATAAGCGGTACCCATATGATTTTACCCACCACAAATGTCTCACTCTTCATTAATTTCTGGATCCTCAATAATTATTTGGTCTTTTGCAGGCTGATATTGGACTTGCAATGGGTATCCAAGGGACAGAGGTTGCAAAAGAGAGTTCCGACATCATAATACTGGATGATAATTTTGCTTCTGTTGTGAAGGTTATTTTTTGTGTCACATCACGTATTAGATATCATTCTGCAGATACTTTAGTTGGAACTCTTGCCCTTATTTTAGGACATATAACAGGCACAGAGATAAGGTTAAATTAGTGCACTTGGTAAAACTTGATTATGTGAATTGCAGGTTGTCCGATGGGGTAGATCAGTATATGCCAATATCCAGAAATTCATTCAGTTTCAGCTTACAGTTAATGTTGCAGCATTGATAATTAATGTTGTGGCCGCGGTTTCATCTGGCAATGTTCCGCTGAATGCGGTCCAGGTGTGTAGTGTCTATCACCTTCTCCATTTCTCTAAAAGAACCAGCTGTTTCAACTTGTCTGTTTGTGTGGTTGTTTGTATGAGTGTATCAACTCCCATCTCACATTTTATCTGTACAGCTGCTGTGGGTAAATCTTATCATGGACACACTTGGAGCTCTGGCACTGGCCACAGAGCCTCCTACAGATCACCTGATGCGTAGAAAGCCTGTTGGCAGAAGGTTAGCCTCTATGCTTATGTGATGCAAAGTTATGATGCTGCTTTTCTGTGAACGATTAGTTAAATTCCTTTGTCAAATGGTTAAGCTTTTTCTCATCCTCTTTCTTACAAAAGCATAATCATTTTTCTAAACCTGATTTGGATGCTATAATAATGTTTCAATTATTTGTGTATTTTCTTCCTTTGTTTTTCTCGCTTCAAAACTCTGTGTTTTGTGTCGTTTTGCTGTTATTTCCTTCATTTGGTGGTGTATTGCATGTTGGTTTGAACTTTTCTAGAGTGTTCCATACAATTAATGACCCTGATGCATTGTTAATTTTTAGGGTTTATTAATGAATATTTAGATTTAAAAAATGCTCTTCTTCTGCATCAAGTGTTGATCTGAAACATTAATGCATTTTTTTTTTTTCAAA